AAAAAGGGGGGGGGGGGGGGGGGGGGGGGGGGGGGGGGGGGGGGGGGGGGGGGGGGGGGGGGTCTTTCGAACCGTAAAGTCTCTCGTAAGAAAGAGACAAGCACGAAACAATTTGGTGATCAAAAAGTAATCTTTGGTATTTTTCACCAAAATCTTGGTAAATGAACTATGAGACAAGCACGAAACAATTTGGCGACCAAGAAGAAATCACTGATGTCCTTCACCAACATCTTTTAAATGAAGCAAAGTATCTCGGCTTACGAGCATGCGTGTAAAGAATATCCACAAGAGGACAAAGATTTCCCATGAGTAACACAGGAACACAACCTGGAAACGAATAAACAGAGCACGACGCTGCCTCGGTCGTACAGGAAATAAGGAGAATAACCCCAAAACAAACAAAGGCATTACGAAGGTGGGATATTCACATCCGATATCTAGGCATCTACTTAAAAGATACTGCACCACGTGGCAGGAAATAAGGAGAATAACCTGGAAACAAACAAAGGCAGCACGATGTTGGCGGGGTCTTTAAAAACAGGGTGCACGAGGACACAACATCTGCATCGGGAAAACTAAAAAACCAAGAAAGTCAAACACAGTCCCACGTGTAAAGTTGTCAGGTTCGTCGAAATGAAGAACCCTAAAAAATATTGCAGCACGAGGCTGGGATATTCACGTCGACATCTAAGCGTACACTTGATAGACGTGTCCACTGCAATCCTCTATCTCATCAAAACAACACCACAGCTCGAGTCCCCCGACTGTTAGACTAAGTGGGAATAGATTCACACTTTTGTTTATGGCCTTGCAAGTAAAGAACGTTGTGCATAAAATTTTCAAAACAGGGATATTATTATAAGCCTTGGATTATGTCCACCGCCATCCTCAGCCTGATGTTTGGAATGTCGCTTTGGCCTATCGAAAATGGAGGTGAATGACCTTGTGCAAGGAAGGAAGCGAAGGCGAGCATGAAAACACCGCAGCTCGACCTGTCCTACTGTTGAGGGACACCATGAGCAACCACCTTGGGTTCCGGTAGATCCAGTTTCGTGTGTTGACCAAATTGACGAACTGTTGCGTCACATAGGTATTTCGTGAAGTTCACAAGCATACCGGAAGAAAAACCGTCATCGTTTTGCAAGAGGGAGTCGTACTACTCTAGCCCTCTTTCGCGGACGCATAACAGGGTCTTGTGCACTCGATTTTTATGAACAGGAATGATTAGCATATTGTACGAAAAAATGTTGACATCTTTTGTCCATCTCGCAACCCTATCATGTCGACATCCCTCGTCGACGAGCTTCGTATAGAAAAACGGACTTAAAATATAAACACAGGGACACCCCGACAACGTAGCATTGCCAACCAAGGCCAAGCAGGACTCCACCACCTCGTCGCAAAGCCACCCCCCCTGAACAAGAGTCTGAAAAAATTTCTGCTCAACACAATAGAACTTGTCCCTTTGCGAATCGAGGAAACCACCTCGTGGCCGTTGCTAAAATCCCCGCAGACCTCCTGCAAGATTCTCAAGTCTGCACCGCTAAGCTCCTCAGTAGACAACGGCACGCGAAAAGATGATGTCGCTGCAGTTGCACAAACACCCAAGAACAACTGTGAGGAGGCGCCAAAACCACCGGGGTGAACCGGTCAAGAACTGTGTGCCCTTTTTCTAGAAAACATGTAACCCCAACTGCTGAATGTGTCTTTGGTGATGTACTTAGGACACGGGTCTTTGGCGGTACCCCGTTTGGCGTCGTCATCAGACCTGTCAGACAAAGCAACAATGCTTTCGATAGACGCAGCCACATGTTTTCGCAAAGCTTCCTCCTTATCTATTCCACAAGCCTTCAAAACCCTGATAGCTCTCCCGGAAAGGCGAGGCATCGGGACCCTTTTAAACAACCCTACAGTCGACGAGGACTTCTTCAGTAAAGCGGCCAATGACCTCCCTGAAAACGATTTTCTGCGCATGGCTTGCGAAGGCTTCATGGGCAGGGACATTGACAATCTCACACCTGTGGAACATAAAAAACAACCCACAACCCACAACCCACAAACTTTTGTTTAAGAAGTGGTAATAACCGCATGAGGCCATCAGTTCAATCTGGATGACCACAGAGCTGAACATGGACAGATGCGCGAGTGCTACTGTTCACAAATCTTACCGTGCCCGGGAGTCCGTCGAGGGGAACCGGCCTCCTCTCGCGCCATTGCACCGACGTCCGTGGAGGATTCAATATTCTGCATCTTGACCACCGCCGAGTCGCTAACCAGCTCAATGGCAGCTGAGTCGCTAACCAACTCCGTGGCTTCATGAAGCACCATTTCCAGACCGGAAATGAGGGCGGACGCTCGATCACCTTGCTCTTCACCGCAGCTGGTGGACTGAGAATCATGATTTGTCCGCTCCGAACCCATCTAACGAGCCGACACCTCACCGGCATGAAGCCAAGCTGACACCTCACCAGCAGAAAGTTGAGCTCCCCCCACGGTTTCTTCGCCTGCCTCATCGTCATGAAGCCGAGCCGACACCTCACCGCGAAAAAGCTTAGCTTCCCCCACGGGTTCTTCGCCTTCCTCATCGTCATGAAGCCGAGTTTCCACGACGGGTTCTTCTTCGCCCTCCTCTTCGCCACGAAGACGAGCTTCCCCAAACGTCCCATGACCTCCCTTAGCGTCACCCTCTTGCGTTGTCAGTGACAACCCGCTGTGCAAAACCAAATCAGTGTCCCCGATGTTGATGACATTTCCAGACGAGCCTTCGAGAAGCTATTCATCCCGCTGCATAGCATGCGTCTCCTCCCAAGCATGACCTTCGCATTCGCTAGCCTCTGTCTCCAACACTCCTACAGTGGGTCTCTGAACAGATGCCGCCGCACGCTGTAAACGTTCACCCTCTTCTAAGAGGTGCAGGAACAAGGTGTCGTCCTGAACAGGACAAGCGTGTTGCGCACTGCGGCGAGGACTGTCCTCAACGTCATGAAACAAAGTCCTCGCAGACAATTGCGAATCTACTCGCACTTCATAAGACCCCAGGGCGGCCTCATGTCGCGTGTTGGAATCTCGACTCCCTTCGCAGTGGCTTTCACCTCCGCCCGACCCGACTTCCCGCTGCACAGCATGCGCTTCCTTTGAGAGGTCCTCCTCCCCCAAAGCTGCTGCACTATTGCTCTCAATATCGACGGACGCGCCCTCCGAAGCATGACACTAATGCTCGCTAGCATCGGTCTCAAACACTCCTGCATCGAGCCCCTCCTGCACTTCGTGAGGTGGCCAATGTTGAGTTTCCTCTTCCCGCTGCGCAGCATGCGCTTCCTGTGAGAGCTCCCCTTTTCCCCAAGGTGGTGCACCCTTGCTCTCCAAGTTGACGGACACACCCTCCGAAGGATGATGTAGATGCACGCTAGCCCCGGTCTCCAACACTCCTGCGTTGAGATCATCCGACACTCTGCTAGGCGGCCAATGTTGAGTCTCCTCTTCCCGATGCACAGCATGTGCGTCCTGTGACAGCTCCTCTTCCCCGGGATCCGATGCACTCTTGCTCTGGAAATCAATCGAAGCACCCCTCGAAGCGTAATGATCATACTCGCTAGGCCTGGTCTCCAACAATCCTGTAGCGGGCCCTTCCAACACTTTGCGCTCGCCGGCGTCGTGAAACAAAGTCCTCGCAGACGAGTGTGAATGTACTCGCACTTGATAAGACCTTAGGGCCGCCTTGTCTCGCATGCCCGAGTCTCGAATCCCTTCGCTGTAACTTTCAGTTCTGCTAGACTCATGACTCCAGAACGCTCTACGCTTTCCTCCCGACCCATTTCCGCCCGGCCCCTTTCCGCCCGACCCCTTTCCGCCCAACCCCTTTCCGCTCGACCCCTTTCCGCTGGACCCCTTTCCGCTGGAGCCCTTTGGTTCCGATGACGTTTCACCTGACCCCTTCCCCTTTGCTTCGTCACCACCAGATCTTGAGCCATCTCCTCCGTCACCTCCTCCACCGGGTCCTGCGCCGTCTCCTCCATCACCTCGCCCACCGCCTCCCAGATGCTGACCACCCAACGGAGGTTGCGGCATGCGCTAGTCAATGCCACGAGACGGTGCCGTCTCCAGTGCGTAGAAAGATGATCGAAACTCCAACATTTTGTTGGCGTACAACTCATCTAGCTTGTGGCCTGCATACGCATTGACGTCCCGCAGGCTCCTGTCGGGGTTCATAACCCTCAAATGCTCCACCAAAGCCTCTCTCGCCTTTTTCTTAAATGGACCCGCTCCCAGTCTGCTCATGCCACTCCA